AAAAACAGTAGAGCTTATAAATGATGCTTACCGAAAAGACTCTTTAGTGATCCTTCTTGGAGATTTTAATGCTAATCCATCAAGAGTACATAATCTCACAAACTCAAAGAAATTTTTTTAGTTGCTCAATAACCTACATCTGATAAATAACTTAGATCTAATCAAAAATCAAAAGTCAATCCATGAGATCACCACCTACATGACTAATACAGGCTGTTCTACTATTGATCACATTTTTATTCACTCGACTCTTATCCCTGACCTTGTGGATTAAGTAGTTATCAGAGTTGATAATGATATATCTGATCATGCTATAGTTTATGCTACGATCTCATTAACATTAATTAATCCATTATTTGTATAACAGTCAACAATGAAAAAATTAGTCTTTCTATATCAGGATATGTCTGATGATGATTGGAATGCTTTTGGTACCTCTGTAGATCATAGATATAAGAATACTAGATTAAGTCTTCTTATGACAGATGACATTCACACTATTCATCATCTTAATTTTTATTGAAATCTATTATAAAAATTGATTGATGCTGCTACTAAAACAATCCCCAACAAATATACTTTACACCATGCTCATAACTTAAGATCACCCATCCTCAAGTTGATATATAAACACATCAAATTAATACAAAAAGCTCTGCAAATTATGTAACAAATGTATCGCCTAGAATGTTGTTAATCTTAAATGGATTATTCTTTATAACCTTCGCAAAATACTTACAATAGCTGCTAAGCTTAACGAAGCTAGTTCAAAATAAAAACTATTAATGAAGCCATCGAACGTTAATATGCTAACATGATTAATAATCAGAAATCCATGTTCAATTCATTACTAGAAAGATCTCGTAATACTATTCTTTTAGATAAATATATAAATAACAGTAGCACAGACAAAGAACTTCTCACAGACCCAAAGAGGTTCAAAAAGAAATAGCACATTATAATAAACTTATAATACTCTAATCTACTGCTTTCTGAGATATAGGAATAGGTGTACACCTTCAATGTATCAATTGATCCTGAAATTTACAATTCGTTAATGCAATCCTATCCAAAGAAGAATGGAATAATATAATTAGGGCGCTCCCTAATGATAAAGCCCCTAGACCATCAAAAATATTAAATGAAATGTTAAAACACCTTTGACCCCTTTTCATCAAGATGTCTTTGGTTCATTATTTGCAGATGTCTCGCTTTCAATCTATCACTAAGCAGATGGAATTTATCCTTGTCTATCCCATTTCTAAATCTAAACCTTAGGAATATAAACTTACAAATACCTGTTTGATCACTTGTTAAAATGCCTACAGAAAACACTCACTAAATTAATAAATGGTCAACTGTTGACAATCTTGTCTGCTAACAATGTTTTAAAGGGAAATAATTTTGCCAGCCTCTCTTGTAGAAGCACTTTTGAACCAATTCATATTTTTGACAACATCAAATATAATACTTCATTCCACTGCAATAACCTGTAGGTACTTTTCTAAGAATATGTTAAAGGCTTATGATCATATTAACATCACCATGTTAATTAGAGCTTTAAGTCATTTGTGCATCTCAAAGGCATTCATTAGATTTTTAATTTCAATCTTTCTTCCTCATTTTAACCAAGTCTTTACTACATATGGTAATACTAATACCTATTTAGTTCTCTCAGGAATTGACCAAAGAGAGATTATTTCTCCCATTCTATGGTACATATATTATGATCTCTTATTGTATTTTATACAAAATTTACCCTATGGCTACATCTAACATATTAACTGAAGAGCTGACATTACTAAACGAGAAATACAAAGTTTTTTAAATCATGTTTCTGCCCTCATTTATATGGATGATACACTTTGGATAGCTGATTTTCAAATTGATCTTTAATATATAATGACTATTACAGATTCGTTCTACACTCTGAATAGTATACAAGTCAACTGGAAAAAATTAGTGCTGATGATCAATAATAAGAACTCTAATCCTGTTAATTTTAAATTTAATAATAAAGATATTTGACTTTCTCCATTTTATCATAAAAAGTCTACAATATACTTAGGAGTATAAGTATTCTTCTTTAGCAATAACCAATTCGTTGTCAACCAAATTTAAGATGAATTCAAAAGAACTATAAATATACGTAATAAGAAAAAGTTGACTGCTAAATATATGATCACAATATTCAATATAGTAGTAATCCTTCATATACTGTATAAAACTAAACTCATGTTTATTTCTTGTTCTACTTATATCATTCTGATGATATCCTTTAGAACTTTTTTCAAAAAGAAATTAGGTCTTTCAAGATTCGTATTAGCATCAGTAATACATTCAACCTTTGAGTACAATCTTGCATACTTTTATGATAAACAAATGCAAGCAAAATCATCTGATCTCTTAAAGATGATCAATGACATCAAAATTCTTGGGTCAACATCACATCTACATAATTTGCAACTTCAATTATTTAAATGGTTACCTTTATCCCTTTAACCAATTGGCCTTATGATGATACAAAACTCTTTAAAGAATAGTGGTCTTGCTTTCTATCTGCTGCAAAATATAATAGTCTTCACTTTCAATAATATATTGATAAAGACTACAACTTAAGACAAATTAAAGAAGGCTCTACTTCTATTCACATTTCCTTACCCAAAAATTTTACTAGCAAAATGTCTTGCAATTATGTTTACTATCAATTTTATATATTGACCAATTCTTAACGATGGATGGTCTCAATTTATTCACAGCTTTTAATCTTAATATGATCTATAACTCAGTATTCTATAGTTCTATATAGTTTAACTAACTGGAATCAAAAATTTTGATCAACACATCCACTAGACAATTGTCTAATAGATGCCTTTCTTATGTATTTCTGATTAAAACATTAACACAACCATTCACATTTATAACGTCTCCAACTAATCCAACTTTCATAGTTATTTTGATCCAATTATTACATAACCTTTATTTTAAGAAAAGTTATCAAAGAGGAAGATATAATCATTTACAGTTCCCGTCAAAAGTAATGGCGGACAGTTTTTTTAACCTAATACATGTAATTTATTATCAAATATAGGTAAAATTTTTTTTAAAATAAAGATAAAAATAATATTTATAAATTTTATTAGATAATTAATATGTAGTGTATCTTCTATTTGCATCAATATATGCTTGAATTCGATTATTATGCTATTAATATAGTTAAGTAATATTGAATTATTAAGATTATCCCATTTCTTCATTAAAAAAAAATTTCATTTGAAATTTTTTTTATGCAACTAATATTTTTAATATTTTACTCAATTTTTTTTAAAAAAACAGCCCAAATATTATACATTCCTATTCCAAAGGAACTTTATGACTTCGCAGTTCACTTTAATAGATGTTGATGGTATTGTGATTTTAGTAAGTAATAAAAAAGTTCAAAAGGGTTTTAATTTTTTTTTTTTTATTGTTTATTTAATATAAATATTCCATTATCTAATTTGGTCTAATAAACAATGAGTCAAATTAGGATAACGGAGTTGCTGTAGTCTACATAAGAAGCAATGCCCCAACCACCATTACTTTTGATGAGGATTGTACACATAACACTATCTATCAACTCAATCAAAATATAACTGAATGCTTATTGCTCCTTGTACTAGATGTAATATTTTTGATCACTCTGCTTTTATCCTATACAAAGATATATTTTCTGCACTATCAAACTACTGAAGACATATTATTCTATATTTAAAGTATTTCACAAATCTCATGAGAGATAGTGGTATAGCCTTTTCTACCTTGCACTTCAAGAATTAGCTTTATCAACCTTAACCTTTCCTTTATCAATATTTAATTAAACCTTTGCCTAATTTAATGATTCTTCTCTTTGACCAAACTTCAATCAATAGATTAGATCAACTTAAAATACAATTTACTAATACTGATTTTCTTCAATTTTATACAGATGATTCTTTTATATCCTTAGGATCTTCTAATTGCTAGATGATTATCATGTGATTATAGACTGACTAGAATTGACCTTTACTCTTATATCATATTCTCTCTCCTCAACATTGGCAGAGATAGTTGCTATCCTCGCTATTATCTATACGTCAACACACAATGCTAACATTAAAATCTGTACTGATTCGCAAGCTGCAATCATATCATATAATAAGATTACCAAGCTCTGCGAGGTTTCCTCTCTCTCAATCCTGCATTCAAGATTTCTTATTTTTATATTTAAATAACTATGTTGTATCTCATAGTCAGTGATATACATTTTTGATATCCCAGAGATTTGTTGTTCCAGCTATATGTTTCAACCTCTCTCACACTATGCCTCAAATGTCTTATCTATCCCATTTATGTCCCATCAGCGTCCCATTAGTATATCATGACAAAACTACTCATAGCTACACACAATATCAAATTAATACTTACCAAAGTCAAAATCTACGAAAATGATCAATTTAACAATTAAGTTGACTTCTTAGCTAAACAAGTTACTAGTACTCATATATACATCAATAATAAACACTTGGATCCTAAATATATTTATGTTATAATAGCACACCAATTATTATACCTTCCCATTTATTTATCAAACATCTACAATAAGCCTTTTAGGCTGAAGCTTTTTTGACTCTTTCACATTTTATTAAATATAAAAATTTTAATATTGATTTGTAAACCTTGTTTTATGTTCTTAATAACTCAAAAAATGTTAGGGTCACATCATTTGACGCTTGTAAAAGAAAACAGTTCAAATTCAAATTGCTTTTACAACTACTCCCCACTATGACAATAATGAATGCTCAATATTCTCAAACTTATGTCTCAAAAACTGTTTCCATTATATCTCAGTTACTGAAGACTTTGATAACATTTAGATTTATCCTAACAATACTAAACTTCTTAAGACCATTATTCTTGAGCACAAATATTCATTTATGTTTCACTTAAAAGAATTTAATAACCTAATAATGATACACCTATCATCTATGTGAATCAGTCTCCAATATGAGATTACAACTCATCGATCTTTTAAAAGTGATAATTCCTTCATCTTTTACATCATCAATCAATGCTATCATAATAAACAAACAACTCACCCTTGGGCTACTATCATCCCTATTTGATGATACATTTTCATCAGTCTATAATATCTGACTGGAAAGATGTAATTTATTATATATGAAAAACGTCAAACAATATCAAAGATGACTTCACTGTAGCCTGGGTTTCCTTTGGTTTCCCTCGTTCAGTACAAACATCCCTAATCATTCTCTCATCATTCATAGTGGCTATCGTCTATAATACTCACTGGTCAAATTTCTGGTACAGCAGTAACCACACTCTTCCTTCTAGACATTTGATATCTGTATTTTAGTTTAGATTAGTTTTTTTTTCTTTTCTGATGTAAGTTTAGTTTAGTAAAGTGCAAAATTGGTATTAATAAAGTAGTTTAATTTACTAGATTAGTTTATAAATATTTTTGTACAGATCCCCGTCAAAAGTCTCTGGACATTTTTTGGCTCAATATAAAACTTGGAATTTTTAAATTTTATTAAAAAATATTTATTAAAATATTTATTAAAATATGATATGCTACACATTTAGTACTAAATAATTAGTACTTAGTTAGGCCTCCATTTGCTTCAATCATAGCCTGAATTTACTGCGACATACTATCAACCAAATTTTTGATAGTTTGTATCAGAATTTGTTTCCATACCCTTATAACATGTTGATCGAGTTGAGCAAGGTTAAAAGGTAATTTTTTCCTTTCACAGATGTTCTTCTTGACTTTAGCCTATAGATTTTTAATAGGATTGAGATTTGGACTTTGAGCAGGCTATGGAATTATGCGCAGACTATTTTCTGCATGAAACTTCTTTGCAAGTTTCGTTTTGTGAAGGCAAGTATTATCTTCTTGGAATATACTATCACAGTTTGAAAATACATATCTTATAGTTGGCATGACACACTTGTGAAGAATGGTAACATGTGTAACACTAGTGACTGTTCTAGATAATAGAATAATTGGTCCTAAGCCTCATCTTGAAAAGCACCCCCAAAATATTCGGCTAGGGCTATGTTTTATTGTAGCAGAAATATAAGAAATGTTCTATTTTTCATGAGGTTCACGTCATACTCAACTACATTAGCTTTGTTGGAATTGTGAAAAGGTAGATTCATCACTCCACATGATCTTTGACCAATTATCCTTTGTCTAACTTTGGTATTTCAAACACCATACAAGACATATCTCAACATTTGCTGGTGTGATTAAAGGCTTTTGTTGAGCAATACAATTATTTAATCCAGCTGCACGAAGTATCTAACCAATAGTGTGAGTTAAAATATCTTAGCTGGTCAGTTTTTGCCAGAGTTGTCATACTTCTGCAATGCATAAGTGATGATTTTTTCTTTATCGTTAGTGACAATTCACTTAAGCCAGCTTTACCTCAAAACTTTAATTAAGGGTGATTGACCAAAACGAGGCTTTGAATTAATGGTTTCAGAGTTATTCATTCTTTTTAAAGTGTCAAAAACTGTTGACTTTCCATAACCGATAGTTGCAGTAATTATTTGATAATTATCACCGCATTGATAGCAAAAAATTATGTCACTGCATTATTCTATTGTTAATTCTTTGAACATTTTTATTATTTTAAAAAAGATAAAATTTTATTTTGATCTAAAATCAAAATAAACAAATCAAACACATTTATTTAGTTTGATTCAAGTAAACAATTCAGAATATTATATAATCGCAATTTTATACAGTCATATGATGTAATCAGTATAAAAAAGCCTCTAAAAGATGATATCTGAAAACTTTTTGCGGGGGTCTGTATTTTCTGTTTTATTTTATTTTCTTGTAAATTCATAAATATTAATAAAGATCATGTAAGACTGTCACATTTATAAAAAAAAATCATTTTTGCACATCATTTTTAGGTGTAACAATATTCTAAATAATTATAAGTAAATATGACCTTATAAAGTTAAAATCAGAAGTAAGCAAGTTACTATTATTTTGATATATTTATGATTGCTTTTTGCTGTTCAAAGATTTGTAATAATATGAATTTGATGTAACTGTATATTTAAGTAAATTGATAAGCTAATCTTTGCTTTAAATATATGTTTTATAATTAAATTCTTTGTGATTTTTTTACAGGAAATTGCAAATCTAGGTTCATAAGTGTGAATAAATTCGTGAAAAACATCATTTTTAAGAATATATAAAGATTATATAAATTTAATAATAAAAACTATTAAAAGACGTACAAGTATTTACTGCTAAGCTTTATTATATTAGTAATTTATTATTTGCCTTTGATCTTATTTTAGCAAATATAAAATTTAAATATTTTTAGATTATGAATATTTATAAATTTAATTATATAATATAGTCAACTCATAATATAGCAAACTTTTGATATAATAAATTTTTTAAACAAATATAATAAAAATATTCTTGTTATAGTAAATTAGCAATCAAATCTCTTAAAATCTTTACTATAGCCTTATATTTAAGATTTAGAATATAGAATTTGTTATAACAAGAGTTGACTGTATATGCAAATTTTTTATAAACTTACCTCATCATTTGTATCTAAATGTTCTAAAAAATTAAATTTTGTTATTTGATACTTATCTCATAAATAATAGGATAGATTTAAAGTTTGATCCACCTTTTTGACTATATAAATAAGATTTTTACTAGTATGATCACAAATTATACAATAAGTTATATCATTTTTATTTAGATCTTTACAAAAAAATAGAAAATATAACTTCTATTACTTCTTTCTAATAGCTTATTATTATCTGAAGGTATAACACCAAATTATTTTTATATTTTTTATATTTATTAATAATGTTTATAGATAAATGTATAAGTATAGATTTAGTGTTAAACATTGTAACTTGAAAAAGAAGTCAAGAGGATAATTATTTTTAAAAGTTTACATTTAAATTTAAGAGATTATATTGAATAAAAAGTCATAAATAATTTTTTTCTT